CTTTCAAAAAAAAATTAGAGCCGTTTTTAAGAAAAAGGCGTTTAAGCGCTACTGTTAATTCGACATTTGAAGCTCTTTTTCACCGACAATTTTTGAGTTTTCAAAAAACTTCAATTGGAGTCATTTGAATTTACAAGAATCCCTGTTTTGTAGGTCCCTGATACCGAAAAATCAATTGACGGCAAAACGTCCGTCTGTCTGTCCGTCGGTCTGTCTGTGGACATCACTAGCACCTAATTCATACGTCCGATGAGGTTGCATCAAAACACTTGCAGGGCTTTGTGGATTTTTTTGAATGGTTAAAAAAAAATCAAATAGAGATGTGTATTATGTTAACAAATAATCTAGCAGATGAGCTATCGATGGAACCGTAATTCTCTGAAAAGCGTAAATTAAAGGTTAAAAGAACAATGTTTGACGAAAGGGCCAAGGACAATGCTACCGTAATTACTTCACTTCAAATGTTTAAATTCACCTGCACTGTGCACTAGATACTTATCCAGCAGACGGTACAGAGATCATCTCTGAAAAATATGATTAACATTGTCAATACTTCTAAAAATATGATCCAATACGACCAGTATTCAAATAAATTCGGAATTATGTTAGCTGAAATTTACGCTACTATTGACTTTTTATCCTAATTTAAATTAAATGTAAGAAATTATAAATTTTAATAGTTGCAGTGTTATTAAATAATAGTTATCTTCATAGATTCGTGACAAAAACTAAATGACGCTCACGAATGTTTTTTTTAAATCTTTTTTTTTTTTAGGGTTCGGTACAAAAGTTGTGTTAACTTAGGGACGCCATTCCTAATCTGTGAAGGCGTCTATTGTAATCAAGTGGAAGTTTTTTATGAGAGTTAGCATCGTGTTTTAATTTTGTGTGCCTCAGCGGCCCGCAGGCTGGAGATCTGCCAAGTGCGCTTCCCTGAGGGTTGCGCCCCTGGCGGCCGCCCCACAGCTACGACGCTGCCTACTACAAAATTGGAGAGAGATTTTTCCTTCAAATAAAATTTGTTTCCATATTTAGTTCTTTCATTATGGTGATTTACACGTTTTTTGAAAATTTTAGTAGTTTTGGCGCATTATTAAAAATAATAAAAACAAGATTGACTCGAAAACAACTCCAAATGTTTTCTTTAAACGTTTGGTAGAGATAGTGCTAAGTATACTCTGTAAGGTGACATAAACGCCGTATTACTCTATTCTTTTGTAGTTATTTTTAATTACAAAAATCTATTTTCTAACTTTTCTCCCAAGTTGTTAATATTTACATTAGATGAGATTTGTTCATATTATTATATTTATGAGTACGTGTGCTTTAAATAATGTTATACAAAGTTTTTCGAAAACTCATCCGTTTTCTGTGAGAATTAGCTCAAAATGCCTAATTTTTAGAAGCGCTCAAGTGCCATTTTCTCAAAAATGGCTCCAAATTCTTTCTTCCAACTCTATCAACATATAGTGCTAATTGCATTATTTAATATGCCATAAAGTTCATTTTGGGGTATTCTTTTATTTCTTTAAAAATTGGCAAGAATAGTCCTTGACAAGTCCAAATTGCTAGCCGAGACCAAACAAAATAGAAAACTAATACAAGAATGATTATGCCATTCTGTAACACACTTAGTTATCTCTGGGGCCACCTTAAACAAGTCATTTATGTAGCAGACACACCATTTGAAGTAACTCGTCTACGAGCATGGACACCATCCCGGTGTGGATACCGTATTTGAAACGGTGCGAAAGTCCACGATTCAACGAACAAATTCTTATTCATGCTAGGAATAAGAGGAAAACATTTCGAACTCTTCTTATGAGTTGTACGAGTTTATGAGAAGTCAATAATACATTAATAATAACAACGAGAAAGCATAAGATTGTGAGACGCACGTTCATATGAACTTTTTTTGTAAGGAACCCATGCCTGAAGGTTGTGAAAGTGTTTGAATCACTCTTGTTTATTGTAACGAGGCCATACATGCTAGGGGTCGCTGTAAACAGGTGTATTGTTGGGTAGTACTCTCCACAAACTTCCAGTACTCAAAGCGTAGTGGTGCTGCTGGAATTAAAAACCATATAGTTGACATTTTATGAGCTTCAAGAAACTTTGAATAAAAGTTCATGGATTTCTTCACCCTTTCCAAAATAGGCCTATCAGCAAAAAACTGAAATATAGTACACTTATTTTTTTTAAATAGCAGGACAGCATAATATAGGTAGCTCATTCACACTCAGAGACAGACGTTTCAGGAAATATCATGTAGTCAATGACTATTCTCTTGTTTTGAAGGTCAAGTATAAGAAATGTCATTAACGTTGAAGTAAATTTGTATGCAGAAACAAACTTACAACTAAACTCTTTATACCATAGAAATTAATAAGTTGAAAGAACAGAAAAGGTACATTCAAAATAAGTTAAGTCGTTTTGGAGATTACCCTGGACAAGCAGATATTAATTGTTAAAACGATAGAATGGGTTTTTAATATCATGTACAATTATAAAACGGCAGTTTTTTGAAATCACTGATACACCAATTTATATAAATAAGCATGCAAAACATGTGAATCAATTAAAGAAGAAAAATAAATAGAATTTATAGGGAAGGGGAATGTTGCGTTTTGAATGGGTGTTAGTTCAGGAAAGATTTTATACCAATGACTAATAAAGGCACTTCATTTTTGTAAGCTTTACTGCTAAGTAAATGCGTGTGTCACTGCCAAATGTACACAATGTTTGAAAAACTTGGGACAAGTAAAATAAATAATGTATTTTTAAAATAATTTTATATGCAGTAGGTATAGCACAACCTGCCCCATTGGTACACACGCTCGAAACAGTGTCCAAGTGAAGTAAAAACAGAAGGATTTATGTTCCTTGTAAAGGTTTTCACCATGTGATTATGGTGTGGTTGACTTCCCATGCTTGGAGCCATAAAACATATCTGAACTATTGTTTCGTTTGGAATTACTTATCTTTCATTATTTATTTCTAATGATCATACCCACATCATACAGCAGCTGGAAATGGCAAACAACTGATCAAGTGAGAGCGTAGGCTTTCGTGGCCGAAGTCAGTGTTTACTTGGTTATCCGGGAGACGCCGCATCCAGGGCACAGGTGCCGACGTTTCGGTCTCCATTCCGCGACCTTCCTCAGGGCGTAGTATTGCGCGGAGATGGACTACGCGTGGGTTTATGTAGTTCCTCTCCTGTCTCTGATTGGTCGGATGATGAGCCAATAAGGAGAGAGGGCAACGGACAATCAGGAAGCGCCCCCCCCCCGGGGGGGGGGGGAGAAGGCGCTCTGCGCGTAATGCAGCGGACGGCGTGGAGCAGCGGGCCCCCTAAAGCAGCGGACGGCGTGGAGCAGCGGGCCCCGTGCCGGGTCTCGACCAGGCGTCCTAGTAGAATAGATGTTTCCAGTCATCGGGGATACGTAGGCTTAGATATTATTATATAAAATAATTTCTATTGCCTCTTTAACTCATCTAGTTCCCCAGCGGTCTTCTCTAGGAGGCGGGTGTCATCAAATAAAATGGCATGACCAGTTTTCCATGCGTGGAGGGTACGACCGATTAATCAGTATTATATGGCGCACACTGAATAACTGTGCACTGGACGCGGCATCTCCCGTGTAGTCAAGTAAACAACGACTGATCTGCCCTGAACAGGGAGGGGGTAAAGGTGTAAGACACTACTCAGAGGCACACTCATTACTCTGGTAATCTCACAGAAGGTACAGCAAAACCCCTTTATAAGACACCTGGGGGAATGGAATTTTGTCTTATATGCGGGAACACTTATAAGTGGGAAATGGGACTTTGACATTTTAATGAAAGATCTTTTGAGTGAACTTAGACATCATTCAAAGCACATGAGCTCATAAATGCATGGTGTGAACATCTCACCTCTAATAACTTTAGAGAGATATCAAAAAATTACATTTGTGTAATTTTTGAAAAAACAAAAGAGCGTTTATACCATACAATACATTTAGCACTATCCCAGCCATAAGTTAGAAAAATAGCCTTTTTGAGAAAATCTCACTTTTGTTATTTTTTAATATTGTATACAATATTGCGTGAAAACTACTAGTTCATAACATAAGTGAAAGGATCAAGTATGGAGAACAAATGTTCTTTAAAGGAAAACTCTCCGTCTTTAATTTTGTATTTATAGGAAACCGCCGAAAAATTGGCTATATTTTTCAATTTCCCAAAATTCTCGAGTTAACAGCGAAAATACGAACTATGCCACGTCAATAAGTGTATTTCACACTATCCTTACAAGAAATTAAAAGAAAAAAATTGGAGCCATTTTTGAAAAAAGTTTGAAAATGTGCCAAGGGCTTCTCGTAAAGTACGTAGCCCAAAACTTAAAGAATATTTTTCAAAATAGCTGAGCTTCAAGCGGAGCAAGATAGATCCTGGAGTATTAATTTTTGAAAAAATCCCTCGTATAGTTTAGGTGCTTGTGGTGTTCAGACCAAAAATCATTTTGTCTGTATCCCCAAAACGTGTATTTCCGTTGAAATCTAGAAGTCTATTTTCGGCAGTATTACATAACTTTCTCTATATTACTCCGTATATACGGACCAGAGTCATCTAGAAAAAAATTAAACGCTTTGTCTCTTACAAGTGAGAAGAAATGCATGGCGAGGAATACAATCTTGTCCACAATAGGCGGGAATCCCTTATGACGGGGTATCTTAAATGCGTGAAATAAGTGCATTGTTTATATACAACTGATCTTCGGACCAGGAATTTTGTCTTATAAGCGGGATTCTTACAACGGGTTTTTGCGGTATTAATTGGCATGCACATTTTATTAATAAACGCTACATACTGGACTTGAGTTTTGAGACAACCGGTGAGTTTTTATATCTCACATAGGGTACAAAAACATAAACCTTTAGTTGCTGAATCCAATTTCACCTACAGCAAAAATAACTTGCCTACAAAATAGCTCTCTATGATAAAGTGAAAAATGTGATGGGAGATCAAAAGGAATGATATTCTCAAGGAAAATGTATCATAGTTATACACTATTTTTCTCTTATTTTGAAATACTACTTTTAATACACAATAAAACATTATAGGATAAGTGTTTGGCATGAAACCAGGAATGTTACACAAATATAGTACATGGGATTCACTAGCATTTCAAACCATTTCGAGGGACTTGACTACTCTTATTGTCAGGTACAATGATTTTTTTTATTTACATTACAGCAAAGTGAGCGAATACCACAATTGTGGCATGTACAAGTGTACTTGTATTTGAAAAATACAACTTCAGATGTTGACATAAGAATTTTTAAACTACTGCTGAAACTGCTATACAAATTACATTTACAATTAAAATAAGTTTAACAAATTTTATATGCGAAACATAAATATTTATTTTACAATTTACATTAAAAAGTTAAATATTGAAAAATATTTTTACCACAAATGTGAAACTAACATGATTTAAATTATATATTTACTTTAAAAACTTAACACAAACATCATTCTTTAAATTTTGATGCGATCATTATGTGATACATAAAAGAAAATTTCATTTCTTCACGAAATTGTATACATTGTATGTACAAATTATGTACAAATATTTTACAAAACAGTCTTTCTTGTGACTTGGAATTATAAATTCCTTACATTGTCAAATGATTAAATGACAATAACAAGTTCATAATAGTACATAATGAGATAAAGGATCTCATAACATTGCACATAACATTATAAGTTACCTGAGAATAGTAAAGAACAAACACTACCAAAAGTACAGAATACAAATCTAATATTTGCTAACCAATTTTCATTCAAGGTTATTGAAAATAATTATATTAACTAACAAACTTCAGATAAAAAATGTTTCTGCTGGTCCATGTCCAACTAAATGAATACAAAGCATAAATAAATAAAATTCCAAATAAGATTGAGATTCATTAGCTGCAAGAAACTTGGAGGGGGGTATGTTTTACCCACCAAATAGTACTTTCTCAACATTCTCTGATTCAACCAACAAAACCGTTCAACCCGTCCAGTCCATTCGAACTACACCCAATTTTTAACTTCCTTTCTCAGCTGGCATTCCATCAACCATTTTAATAAGGGTAGGCAGAGGAGCAATTGCAGTAAGGAGTTGTGTGGTGTGCTCATTAAGAAGTTTGCTCTGCTTTTTATCTGTAATAGGAACCAGGGGAGGGGGAAGAAAAGTGGCAGGTCGAGGCTCCACACCAGGTGGAATGCTGTCTTTTGAAACTTTTTTTACACTTAATACAGGAAGAGATGGTTGAACTGCAGTAGAACTCAACACACTACAAGAAGTAGGCACAGCAGTAGAAGTATGGCTGGTCACTAAAAACGGGAGAGTTCTACGAGGTCCTTGGACATACACTGGTTTCATATCCTTATGAATTATTTTTAAAGTGCGATTTGGAAGTGAAGTACTTGAGGGCACATGTACTGCTCCAAAGTTTTGGACACATCCTTTAACTTTATCCTCAACATGTAAAGGAACAATTTTGCTTTGGGTAGGTGAAACAACGTTAACAAACAAAGTATTCGGGTTAGTTACTTTTGAAGATGCAGAGCTGACTTGTGTACTTTCAGTGAAGCTTCCAACTGCAGCCTTCTTTGTTTGAGAATCGTTGCCCTGAGTAACACTTGAATCTATTTTGATTGTTTTATACTTTTTTACAAGCAAACCATCAAATCCTGAATTAAGTTGACTAGTCTCACCTGGGATATGTACTTTCATCTTTTTAGCAAGTTCTGGAACAGTGTCATAACTTGATTCTGTTATCTTCCTCTTCATAGCAAGAGTATAGGGTGCAGAGTTTTTAACTTCTTCTGTAATAGCTTTAACTGGACTGGTCAGAGCACTTAGAGGTTTCAAAGTGATCTTTGGCTGCGATCGAACACTTGCATTAGATGTAGCCATATTCTCATTTTTATTCATCGATGAATCTCTGCTCTGCATTGATGTTGAGACACAAAGAGAATTCTTTACATCACTGGAGTTAAGACAAGTCACTGTTATTTCATCTGAATTAATAATATCTTTCACCTCAGTTACATTTTGAGAAGTGACAACTGATATGCTCACAGACTCATCGTCATCTTCAACAACATCATCATACTCATCATCTGAAGTTTTCAAATTTCTTTTTTTGTCTACTGTGTTTTTTGTAGTTTCTACATTAGCACTTTGTTTTTCAGATTCTCCTAGTGGAGAACTACTGTTCTTCCTATTGCTTGTAATATCCTCACAGCTGTCTTCCATATCTTCTTCATCATACTCTGAGAGATAATCTAAAGAATAAAATATACGAATGAGCTCATTACAATGTTAGGTGATCTTCAATCAAAATCTAAAGATTCCTCTTCACATGACACTTACCTTCTAAATCACTATCATCTGATTTGTGTGGAAATATCACTGCACCCCCACTAAAAGTAATAGATAAAACATAATTACTTTTAATCACACAATGCATGGAAATCTACTCAAAATATTTTTAGCAATACTTCTATTTACAATTTTTCTTCTTAAGATTCAAACCTTCCATTATGTCCTTACTTACCAGTAACGTGCCATTGAGAAATTTAATCCATCATTTGGATCTTTAACATCACTTGTAAGAGATTGGTTTTTGTCTTCAGCTTGATCATATTGAATTTTTAGTTTTTGAACAATGTCCCTTTTTATATTTATTGGAAGCCCTGGGAGAAAGATCAGTGAAGTCAATCATAAAGTGAAATATGTTAAAAAATTAATTTCAGAGATTGAATCTTAAGCCATGCTTACAAAAATGCGACCTGGTTTCACAATTATCAACAAGCAACTGCTTGAACCTTTCAAAGGGTTTTCTTTGTATTTTTTGATCATTAAAACAGTAATTGATGCCTATTTAATTAAAAAAAGATTTTGTTAACAAAAAAATTATATTTCTACTAATATTAAGGGAATTTTCAATCACTAAAAACAGGAAAAGAATATTGTTAATTTGGCAACATTACTGTAATAAAAAAGCTTTTCTTTCATCGTTAAAAAACTCTCAAGCTAAAAAAAAGGCAAATTACTCAGTATAATACTCTATATAATTATATACTCTGAATAATTATTAAGTAGTCAAGAATATTACATTATCTTAAAATCTCTTCACTACCTTTCATCTTATTGTAGAGATATAAGAGGGATTTATGCTTTGAGTTCTTCCACTTCTTATGTTCTTTCTCCAAATCTCGAGCATTACTCTGTAAAGACTGTATTTCAGTGATGGCCTACAAGAAAGATTAAATGTTTATTTTGTTGTTCAAGACAAATTGTGTATGATGAACCTTGTAAACTTTGAAGGAAATTCCCTTAATTAAAACTTGAAACATTTTTAACTCTTTCCTATGCATGATCTCAACTCAAACCTATAATACTTACGTATAACTCAATGTATTTGATTCTACTAATGACAAAATGATTTCTCCATTATATGAATCTAAAGAACAATATACTACTCATATTTATCTTTAGATTTAAAAAATTGAAATCAGAAATCACATTATGAGATTTCAAATATTGGCATCTAACAGAAAATGGAACAGGTTAGACAATAATATACCAGGAGAAATCAATCATCTCTCGTGAAACAATCTTGTGAATTTGACTTGCAAATATTCAAAACTAAAAGACAATTAATGTAAACATTAAATATACTGCCAAGAACAATTAATGTGCTATTATTTGTTTCTTAATTATTTTTCAATAGATTCATTACCAAATGTGCATTTTATCGTTATTTGAAAGAAATTCATACTTTTAATATGACATCCTGTTTTGATGAATTTGGTGATATTAGTGCTCCATTATCATCCAAAGCTCGTTTTAACTGATACAATCCAAGTTCAAGATCACGACGACATTTCTTATCTTGGAGCCTTAGTACTTCAATAGGTTTTAATCCATAACTTTCAGCATCTGTAGCAACCAACTTATCAATATCAAATATACCTTTTGTAGTCATCATCTGAAAAGGAAATTATAATTTTGTATTCTTACAAATTCTTATTAACTTGATTAACCCATGCTTTCATCAGCTGCTCATGACTGAAATAAAAATCAATTGAAACACTCACATAGTTGCCATTTAAAAGAGAAGAATCAAACTGCTTCAGTCCATCTTTTCCTAAATTTGTCTGAAGAGACCAGGTAACAAATAACTGCTTTGGAATGTAGAGAATAGCAGACTGAAAAAGCCTAGAAACAAGGTACAATTTATAAGCTCTCAAATTGAAATAGTACAAAGTATATGTTTTTCAAAATAAAACTGACCAATCTTTTGCTTGTATTTCAAATACAAATTCATTTCATTGAAGGTTTTCAATAGGTTAGAAATATTGATTACATAATATAAGTTTACAAATAATTAGTAAATACTTCATTACTTTCTTAATAATTAATTAATTGTATACAATTTATTGTTGAGAAAATACACATTAAATTCAGTGAGGTGCACATTGATTTTTCAATAGGTCTGTCAAAAATATTGTCATTAAATTCTACTATAAGTATATATAGTTACTTATAAAGTTATAATACACATTTAAAGTTTACAAATGTTATACTCACCTATCTAGCCACAACTGAGTAGACTCCAAGTTACTGAACATCATTTTCACTCCTGACACAGGGTGAGAGAAAAACAGACCACCTCCTCCTTCATAGTTGCATGGAATACACCCAATCCATGGAAAGGAAGGAACCAACCACCCTGCAACTGGTTGTGGTTGCAATGATTTTTGTGAATCTTCAGTCAAAGTTTTCTTGGAATGACCCTTTTTTTTGGGCGATGAGGACACCTGTTTTTTTGATGCTGATGAGGTAGATGCAAGTGATTTCTTCTTTGTAGGAGATTTTGTTGAAGATGATAGATTTGGAGTGGATGTCAGCTGAGATGAAATTGGTAATTTTGAATTCCTGTTAAATTTGTCAGTATTGTTTGTTTCATAAGATAAAGATTTGTTAAAGTTGACACTTAATTTCTTAGCAATTTCTCCACAAGCATCATCTGCTTTTCTCTTAGGTGAGCTCTCCTTCAATGTTGTTTCTTGACTTTGGGTTGAACTAGGAATTTGAGGTACTTTTCCAGTTACTGAGACTTTAAATGAATCCATTCTATGTTTTATTTTATTGGAATTTTCTTGTTTTGCCACATTTGACTGACTTTCTGCATTCGTCATATCTGCACTTCTTTCTTTATCTTTTTCAGCATTGTCTTTATATACACTATTTGCTACTTTACCAACAGTTGTCACCTGCACTTCCACATCATTATTATGAATATTATTGTTACAAATGCCCATTTTTAATAGACCAATATTATTATCATTACAACTTGGTTTTTCAGATGATATTTTGGGATTGTTTTGGGGTAAGGAATTTTCTTTCTGAGCTTTAGAAGCTTCATTTTCACAGTTTCTTTTGGTATAAAGCCAAGAATGTATTTCCTTTTGTTTTTCAACAGGTCGTTTACAAAGCTTTCTTAATATACTAACAACCTTTTCAGAGTAATCCTGCCCCAAGTTCTCACCGGTAATTGGTGGTTCATCTCCATCATCGTCCAAATCAATTAAAGTTCTGTATTTTCCATCACAAAGCACAGACTTTGTAATACTTGGATCTTCATTTATTCCATATGGACCAATGAAAACATATGAAGAAACATGAGGTACAGCGTATATACCAAATTTTGGCTGATTGGGATTATCACAGACTAAGTTCTTGTTTGAAACTTGGAGAGGTAGACGGACAGTTTTCTTGTGACTAGATGCCATCTTAATTGTTTCAGAAATATGTTTGTATCTTGCTGAGCAGTGTTTAGAAGTAATATGCAACACATCAAAAGGCTTACTCACATTCAATACAAACCATCGACTATCACCTGCACATGATGGTAAAGGAATTGGCACATTTTCACCTTCAGCAGTTTGTACTTTTGTAGATTGCCAAATCGTTTTCAATTTTCTGATTCTTGTTCCTGATTTACCATCGCATTTAGAAACAGAGAGTTGATTTTGAGAACATGTTGAATTATTAATTTTAGATATTTGATTCGGAGACAATGATTGCAAGTTCAAATTGGACAATTTCTTGACTGATGTAGGAGACTTTTCTACTTGTTTAACATATTCTGGTAGATCAGGGCATAAAATAGATAATTTTGTTGCAGAATTACTTCTCTCTTTCTCAATATGGATTTGACTCTTAGACTCAGGTGAATTCAAATTATAATTTTTTGATATGGATTTTTCTTTTTCACTATGTGTCTGACTACCAAGTTCTTGTGAACTCACTTGTTCATTTAATGATGTCACTATAGACAAATGTTTTTCTTTTCCATTTATTTTTCTTACCACAGTAGGAGAATTGTTTAAATTAGACGATTTCATTATTAGAAGAGGTTTCACTTTCTCCTCATGGCTTTCATTTACATACCTTGGAGATTTTTCATTCGTATTTACTGTTAAATGAGGTTTCTCTTTTTCAGAATATCTTTGAGAATTGAGATTTATAGCAGACTTGTTCAAAAAAGGTCTTTCAGGGTCAGTGGTTTTTGTATGTCCTATTGATATACTCTCAAAACACGATTTCATTTCTGAAAAAGGATCTTCTTTCAGAGACTGACCTTGCTTAAATTGCCCTACAAATTTCATGTTCACATTGGAGGATTTTACCACTGAAAGAGGTTTCTGTTTTTCAGTTTGATTTTCACCAACAAATCCCAGCAAATTTGCATTAGATGATTTTATAATCAAATGAGACTTTCCTTGTTGAGAACAATTATTATTAGTAAAACTTGACTTAGGAGGTGAATTACAGTCAGCTCTCTTCAATATGAAACATTTCTCTGAACTGGGTGAAGATGGCACATCGACAATAGATTTTTTTTCAGTTGCCTTAACACATAATTTATCTTTATTCAGGTCAGGTTTTGATTCAACTAATTTTAAATTTTTTGGAGGAACACCATGACTTACCTCTGATGAGGTTCGGTTTTTGAAAATAGTGCCAACCAACTCAACATGTTTCCCATCAAAATGTAAAAGGGCATATATATCACGATGGAATTGTTTATTTTTTTTACCATCAGATTTGAATAAGTCCGATACGATAGGAGGTAATTGCTTATATTGTTGTTCAGATACATCATTAAGATTCACAAATGAAGGATCTGGTCGTAACTTAGTAGAGGTTATGACTAATTTAGATCCGCCATTATAGTACCAAAGTTGAATACTTTTTGACTGAAACAAACTTTTCAACACAGACCATTGCAATAGGTGAATGGATTCTTCGTTTCCTGAGGGGAAGGAAACATTACCACCTTTTTCTTTTAATTCCCGTATTTTTCTGTTCAAGAGATTGGCAATTTTATCAATTGAGATGTTTGTGTTTGTTTTGCCTTTAACATTTTTGTCGGACGTAGTTGCCTTCATCTCATCCATTGTTGCAGACACACTGTGAGTTTGAAATTGCTCAATTCCAAAAGTAAGATCACCTTTTTGAAACTGTTCTTCACTGAGAGTAGTAACACTTTCTATTTTCCCAAAACTTAACGAACCATCATCGAGCATAAAATCTGAGGTGGAAGGTATGTTGATATTTTGACTTAAACATGAAAAATTTGGGGGCACTTCTGCAGGAGGAGATGGAATGGTAGAAGCAATTGAATTACTAGTAACTAACAAGTGGTTTTGATTCACACTAGAACTATTATGTCTGTATCTTTTTAATAATTTGGTATTGATGGGAGCTGTACGAGCTGCAAAGTATTTTGGATCATACCAAACATTAGGAAGAAGTGTAGTGCTCTTAACTGCCATATTTCGTGATTTTTCTTCTAACATCTGTGAATTAGTTTTAGTTTGCTCTTTGTCTCTTGAAGTTTCTAAATGCATCTCCTTTTCTTTTTTATGAGCAATTGTCAAGGCACAATCACTTCTTTTTAACTTTACATAACATTCCTTTAGTCCGTATTGCAATTTCATTTCTGATACTTTTACTTCCCAAGGCACCTTTGTTACTCCAGAACCAGTTTTAGGAGGAATACCCTGAATTAATTCACGATTGTTGACAACAGCAATCCTTGTCAATCGTCGTGCAGACGGATCAATATTTTCATCCGAAGAAATTTTAAAATCAACTAGACCATAGTCCTTTCCCAGAGCAACATAGGAATCTCTATATCTTCCTGGGAGTTTAATTTCCCTTTTGCGTCTACTACTACCACTACTACCAACAACAATTGTTTCATGTTTTGCACGTATAACAGTTTGCTGGAATTCTTTCTCTTCTTTTGCCAATATACGGCGATTCTGCTGTGGGATTGTAAGTAATGTTAAGGGAGAAAGTAAAGTATGCTGCCTACTATCTCCTCTTTTATAACTCTTTGGTTCACACTCACAAGTAAACATACATTCTTCTTTACCACAGTGTTGTTGTATAGCAGGCTTACAACATTCGAGACTCTCACAAACGCATCCTAACTTACAATATTCTTCAGTACATTTTTGATTTCTAGCATCCCACATTTCTATAACATTAACATCCAATCTTGTCAGCTCCCTAATCATTGGACCTTTCTTTCTTTTCAGCACAATATTTTCATTTACATTTGAAGATTCACTGGCTAAAGAATGGGAACGGGGTTCTTCATGAATGACCAGGTCTCTTGCTTCACGACGTTCAACATAATCCACAAGGTCTTCAACCACTTTCCTTACATCATCTTCAATTTCATTCTTCAAGAAACTATTTGTTCCACTGCCAACATTGTTCTGATCATTGTCAACAATTGTAGATTTTCTAGGCCTTTTAACTCCCAAGATGTGGTAATCATGTTCCAAATTTTGACGTTTAAAAATACTTGGTATTGTTCTCACACCTATTTGCGTAAGAGGTCTTGGACACCGAACACGCACTGAAGTACCAGTCATTGGGTCAAATTTTGGAATGATACTTTGAGGTCTGGTAATCGCACTAAATGGTTGATAAGGATCCTTTGAAACAGGTTTTTGTGTGAAAGACATGAAGGGAAGACGAAGAGCTCGAACTGGGAGAATTACAGTATTTGATTGGAGAGGTGTCTTCGTAGTTTTAGTTACAACAATTGATGCTGCAAATTTTGCCCAGTGTTCATCAACATGATGATTATTCTCTCGTAAGGTCTTCAACTGATCCATAGCAAGAGTAACTAAAGGTCTTCGAACACCAGTGGATAAAATCAGACCATATTCAAAAGATTTATCCAATGATCTGTCCACTAAACTAATGTTACAAGGGTGTGATTGTTTAATTTTGTCATTCTCATTAATATTTTTCCAATTATTAGCTTTGCTACCATTTGAAGTAGTTGGCAATTCAGCAGTTGTGATGGCCACAGAGTTGGTGGTAGTTGTGATGGCCCCAGAGGATGAGGGTATTAAGCTTTTGGTATTAGTACTGGAAAGACCACCAGAAGGACCTAGAGTTGATGCATTGCTAATTTCACTTGTAGGGGAGTCAAAAATAGAGTTTATTTTCTTTGAAGGGCAGATTAATGATACTGAGCAGGAAGACTTGGAAACAGGCAAAGAAGTAGCAGTACTAGAAGTTGTCAAAGTGTCGCTAGTGCTAATAGGTGTAATGTTTGAAGTGATTAGTGCATTTTCCTTCAATATTTTTTTGGAACTATCAATAATTCCACTTTTTTCTTCCAATGAGTTTTTCAAATACGAAAAATATGTGGGAGAATCTTCATCTTGTATGTTCATTTCTGTTGAAAGTAAGTATCTTCTCTGCCCAGATTGTAGCTTGCTGTTAATTTTATTTTTAATGGATTCTACTCCCTTATCATTTAAGTGCTCCATTTCAGGATACTTTTTCTCAGTGATTTCCATGTTTCTGATATTGTTGTTTGCTTCAACTGAAGAATTTAAACCATTATTTTTGTCTAAAATATGCTCCCCTCTTTTCAATTTGTTTCTTAAATTATAAACCACTTCACTGACATTGGAGTCTCTCTGTTGCTTGAACAGGTTATTAGACTTTTTGCCACTTCCTTTAGGGCGCCCTCTTTTCCTTCGTCTTTTGTATTGATTCGCTAACTGTAACATTAATCGCTTTTCAGCTATTGTTTTAGGCTTCCTTCCACGCTTCTTTGGAACTTTATAAGGTAAGTCAGATGGAATGTGATCTACCTCTTTTTTAATTGGAGAAGTGACCTTGCTAAGAGTTGTTGACATTCGTTTTGGGTACCTTCCAGTTCCATAAGTAAGATTTTCAAATAATACATTATTTTTTATGTTATGTGTGTGATCTTCAAAACCAGAAAAGGTTTCATCACCTTCTACTGATTTTCTTTCTGTCTTGATTGAGGAAGGAAACTCTTTTTTAACTGATTCTACAGAGTAACTTTCAATGGGAAGATGAGCATCATGCACAAACAAATCCTGTTCTCCTCCACTCCATAAATCTCCTTGTTCTTCCAAGTCTAGACTTGCATCTTCTTCTATTTTAATATCACAACTTACAAATCCATCGTCATCTTCATATGGACCAATACTGCTACTGCTACATTGGCCTTCTGATGGATTATTATTAATAGCAAAAGTTTTTGTTCTCCAACCCTTAATTTTTGTTATGTCTTTTGTTTTTGTAGGAATGATGGCTTGTGAAGCTGAATGAGCTTCTGGTTCACTATAGTTAAAAGAATCATCCATCATATCTAATCCATCATCACTGTGTGTGATATTCTCATCATTTTGTTGACATTCCCCTCTATAATCTAACTCAATTTTAGTAAACTCCACCATGTCATGCTCAGTTTCAAATCCAAGGAATTCAATACCATCGATTCTGTCTCTTTCCTCTTTCCCAGTACTGATTTGAGGTGGAACCACAAATATAGCATCATCTTCCTCTTCATCTTCAGTTTCTGTCAACCAACTTTCATAGTCTATCTCATTCCCGAGATCAATGGAACACTCCCTTTCAAATTCCTCTACTCCACTCTCTGAACTGGCAGGTCTGCATTTTTCAACAGTTCTTTCCTGGGGCTCCCCATCAGAACTGAAACAATTGGTTCCATTACAGGATGGGAATTTAGGTAAAGTTCTTGCTGCTTCAGGTGATATTCCCATTCTCTGTGACTTTTCGCAATGATTAGACTGTTTTGACTTTTTCTGTTTTTCTAGAGCACTTGCAGTTCCCTTCTTTAATATTCCAGAACCAGTTGAACTGCATTGAGATATATCTGCATATGATAAAAAATGTTCATGAGATTCATTGGATGTTTGGTCATCTGACAAACTACTACTATATTTCATCCACAACTTGCGTCTGCTTTTCTGTAAATTTCTAGCAATAGAAACTTTAAAAGAATTTTCAGATTGACTTTTGAATGTTTGAGATTTTTCTCTATGAAGCTTCGTTCTCGTTACTATTACTTCTGGTAGAAGTTGAGGTGGACTATTGTCATCATCTATTTTAGGTGCCTCTTTGTCTTGTAAATAATGAATCAAAGGTGGCGGTTCATTCCTTAACAATGAAACGTTCCGTCGTTTCTCAGTTTTGGAGTGTGCACCATTTTCTTCGGATTTAATCACAGTATTTTGAATACAGCTTTTACCAATATCAAAAGAATTTTGTTCTTTGTTGTTACAATCTTGAGCAATTGCTTCGGAATGAGAATCTGTTAGACATGAATCAAACGAATCTTTCTTAACATTTTTATCAGAGTGAGCACAAATATCATTATGAGAATTTCTTTCATCATTTAATTGTTTACTATCTTCTTTTAAGTTTTCAATATCCTTACTATCTTCTTTTACAGATGACATTCTGTCATAATCACATGTCTTATAAATATTAACAATCTTCAGTACCACATGAAAATACCTGGAACAAAAAACAATTTTCAAAATGCATTCCATTCACAGAAAATATTTAAAAAGTTTCACAAATACATGTGTGTTGGTTAAAAATTATCTTAATTCAAACTATAACACTATAACAGAAAAATTATTTTTTCTTGTTTACATAAGCGTACAAATTATGGTTGTGAGAGCACTTGCTTCTTCTAAGGCACACATTAGAATCAAATTAAAAAAATATTTCAAATCAAATCAAGCTGTGTTTTTTTTAAGTGTTACTTAAGTTGGCCAAAGGAATGAAAATCACACAGGGAAGAATGAAATTCAATACTAAAAAGTAAGTACCTAGTAAGTTCAATATTCTGGTCTATATTGATATCTGAAGTAACCAAGAACATGACCAAACCAAGGGGCCCTCTATTGATATCGAAATATTGAACACTAATCAAAAACGATGAAATGTAACCTATGCAATATAAAAATGTAATATTAAAGTACTTTTTACATATTCATTCTCGCTTATGCATGAATATATACCTGGTACCCCATGACAGATCATAGAAAGGACTCATTCTTGATCTAAACTTATGACATACATATTGAACATCATTATATTGCTATAATATATTCTTAAAATAACAATATTTCAGCATTTACTTTCAAATTTGTAACGTATATCAAACCAATATATCAGTATTACCTCTTAGATACTTTCTGACGACACTTGTAAGAAACTCGTGAATTAGGCCTACAACTCAACAAAATGCTTAATAAACATTAATAATAATTACTATTTTAACTTGTAGCGCTTATCACCTAGAAATGGGAATACGCACTGGTTTCGCATGAAATATTTTAAGAGAACTACAAAAACGTATTTCACCACATTTCAGTTTTACCTACGAGACTGCCCAGAACCATCGTACACTAAACAGTCTCGTGTGAACAACATGGCGGACAGGTGAATTTCCCACGGCAGGAAAGAGAACTCATAAATGTAATTTCAATGGACAAGATATTGAAATACTAATTAAATTTTTATATATTTAGCAAAAAGTAACATATTTACGACAAAATCAATATTACTTTAAAATAGTCACATAAAACAGACATTAATCATGAGACGAATGAAAGACTTGCCATATGCCTTTCCAAAAGTAGATTCTTAGAGGGCAGCACTACATCTTTACCGATTGATTCCTGCAACAATACAAAATACTGTCGCCCATTGTTTCCGTGAACAATTAGTGTTGGGATTCGCGGTCCAATTGAGACATAGCGATAATGATACTTAAAAATCCCGAAAATTTGTGTCACAAACGATCAAATGAAAAAATTACTTCGAAAAACCATGAAGCTCTTAATTTTTTAACACTTCTAATAAATGTATATTTACACATTTAGACTTTCGATTCTGCGATACATGGGAAATTTGTTACAGCTGACTGCTGAATCAACAGACCAAATGTAGTAAAGTTTGAAATAATTTTTAACTTTTAAGTGCTTTTTATATTTTGTGGATTTGACTGAAACAGAAATATATTGTTCCCTACTTGCACGTCTCTCAATACCCCTCACCCCCAAGAAAGTTATATGCAACTTTGTGCGTACAGTTTTTGAAATTTAAAAAGTTGTAATGAAAATAGTTCTTGAGCCTTTTAAGCGCATAGTTATTTATCCGTACAAAAATTATTTTAAAAAAGTGGTGTCTATTTGGAGAAAATCTCGAATTTGTATTTTTGAAAACTTCACGACTATTGAATTAAAATTAGGTGGAAAATAATATTTTGATAACCTTCCTGAAAGCATTTAAAACACTAAGAATGATTAGTTTGCGTGAAGAAAACTAGGTTCGAGAAGAAGTTCAATTTTTGAAACTTTCGAAAATTCAAAGATTTTAACGAATCGGATAACATTTATAAGCGAATTGTTCTGTATTAGAACAAGAAATTTAAAGAAAAATATGCATGTTAACGCACTTGCCTTATACAAGTTCTACAACTCAGAGCCAACCGTGCCATATTGAATAATTTCGAGCCTGACTTTTTTCATTGCTAGCGAAGCCACCAAGCATTAATTGTAAAACACGAACAAATGTAACCGGAAATATATTTGAAGCAGGAGCAATTCTGCAATAGAATGAACAAACACAAAGGGGCCGCGGTGAAATCAAAGCAGGAACAGCTAAGTTTCGATTCTCAAACTTTAAACTCGTATCCCCCCCCCCCCGTACAAAATTGTCAAATTAAGACAATCACATTCTGCGTATTCAAATTATCTAATTGAGCATTTTTGTAATATTTCAAATAAATCAGGAAACTGTTTCGTACTGTAGAATGAGGAGAATATTATAACGACACCATGCATAAACGTACAAATTAAGCTAGGCTTTATTACTAGATTTTTGAAGGTAAAGTTTAAAATGCCCATGAGCGTACATACAAAACATTAAATGTAAATATTGGGTACCTTACAAAGAAATTAACAGCATAATTAAACATATAAACACAAAAAAAGTACGATATACGCCGATATCTGGCATTTTGTTTCATAATGATCATGTTTTACGTTATTCACAAATGAAGAAGTTTAGCTCCCGAGGTAACGGTAGGAGCCGACAAGGTAATTTGTCGAACCTACTTCTTTTACGCGTGATTTACAAACGAATACCACATATTATTGTATTTATTAGGACTAGTACGTAAATGAAAGAGAAAATAGTTTAAATATAGTCTAGGAAGTATTGTAGGTATTATGCTCAAACTGAACACAGTTTGAATATTTGTTTTAATGAGAGTCAAGGAGTTGTAAACATTGATACATTTCGAAACGATTACTGTACATTACCTACATTAGATATGTACTTCAACTGTCAGCTGTGAATTATTTACGTTTATTAGACCAAAAGAGAACATACAGTTATTTTATAAAATCCACATACTAAGAGAGCAATACTGAGGAATCTCTTTCTGACATAACCTAAACGATTTTCCATACATTTCTGTTACTCCTATCCATCCATTAAAAACATCGAAGAATAACGACGAGGAGGGTTTGGATAATTGGAACTTGACTTAAGGAATGACTTAATTCATTACCTTAATGTCACTATCAATGACAACACTGTTACAATCAACAAACAGAAAATCACAACATGAAAGATACAACTACCACTTCGTCGGTACAATGGCATGACGGGTGAACATAAGCGAAAGAGAATAACTTCGCGTCAATCCATTGTCAGTACAATCACTTGAAATCAACTAATGAAATCTCTTAAATTATCAGTAGGGGCCATAACTAGTATTCACTACTTATCAAATATTAAGTAGGTAGTAAAGAAAACGGAAAACATTTTTTCTAGTGTTCATTCCCAGAATTAACCACAAATTAATGCGTATCCCTCAGGCGTTTGCTATCAAAATCAACTCGTTCTATTTGAGAATAGTTTATAACAGAAAACGGGGTCTTATAGGGTCCACACGTGTTTTAATACGCACGAAGACTACTATGTTTTCGTAGTAATAAGTCGGAATTGAGGTGTATCCTGCTGTATCCTTTGGTGAATTATGAAGGGGGTCCTCAAACTTAGGAAAAATGACAAAACTGAATTTTGAGCCTGAACGCAAACGCATTTCTTCACAAAAATACTATTTCTCTAAATTAACAAGCACTGACATAAGCAATATGTTATTCTTCACAATTTAAAATCTTGGAAGGAATTTAACAATTTTTAATTAGCACTTGCATGAACAAACTGTACTTTAAAATTAATAATTATGATTTTAGAATTCTAATCTTATTTATTTCAAAATACTGTATTTTCAAATTCTGATATTAACTTCTATTAATGAACATGAAATGAAATCAGGGTTATTAGTATTTTCCCCCAAGAAAAACCAATAAAAGGATGGGAAGTGATACAAAAGTTGCATTTAATACCCTTTATTTCTCTCATATTTCTCACTCGAGTGGGCGCACTGGGAGGGAAGGATGAACGGACTCCCCTCCCTCTGAAGAAGTAAACAAAAATTTCCATAACTAAATAGTTTTGCTTGTCCCAGAACTTAAAAAGCTAATTTTTGCATTAAAACTTAAAAAAAAAAAAAAAGATTGTATGAAACATCAAGACTATCCAAATCAGATAATGGAATACATTTTTACATGTAGTAAATATTACGGGTTTTATTTACAGGGTCATTTTCTTGTATCACTCATATTTACTTAAGAAATGTTATTTTTTTCATCAGACATTTTTGACCACATAACAGTAGCTGCAGTTTTATCATTAAACTAAAATTTTGTGACCTTTTATTGCAGGGAGGTCATAAATTCCTTCGCTTTTACATACTCAGGTTCAATTTTCATTTTATAGAACTGTTCCCTCAATTGTGCCTGGACAAAGATGAAGAACTTTTTAACTTATCTGGATTATTACTAGAACAAAAATAGTTTTGAGGGAAATAAAGGAAATTAATCTCTAGTTAAAAGACAGAGTGATGAGTGTCCCATCGTTCTTGAAGAACAAAGAACAGCAAAAGATCCAACAAGACATTATAAATTCATATAGAATTTATCAGATAAAACATTTATTTTATTTTTTATTAAATTCAACACAATTATTTTATAAAATATTAACAATTTTTTAAATTAATTGGAACAACCATACTACTTATATTCTTACTAATCATGAAATTTCATTATGCATTTCTCTAAAAATATTTAAAATTATTTATTACTCAATAAGAAAACTATTTGCTGAGAATTTAATTTAGTTATACACATATTTTAATATTAAAGTTGATAGGTATATTTGAAGCGAAGGTCTGAATATTCTATGAAATTATTATACACTGTTAACCCTTTAATAGCCTACATTTACATACATTTAATAAAAATAAAACCAAGTAATGACATTCATCAAAAGTCTCAAATTAATTGATTAACGGATTACAGCAACTTATCAAGCAACAATATAACCTCTTTGTGCCTCTGTGTTGCTTGGTCTGCTCATGCCTGGTGTCACCACTGAATAAGAATAATAAAAATGTATTTGCTCTCATTAACTCGATATTACAAGTCTTGAAGTATCATCACACACAAGTAAACATTCAATATTCTTTCTCTAACAGCTTTCATTTTTTTAAAAGGACAATTCACAATTATTTACATTTTATATAATAGTTAATAGAAATGACAATCAAAATCTAAATAACTTATCCTAAAGTAAAGAATATATAAATATTGTAACATTGCTCTCTCTACATATGTCAATTTCTTTAATTTATAGAAGCAAGTTTCAATTAAGTAATTTTTTAGTGCTCTTTTGAATTTATTTTTGCTTAACTCCTTAATATGGTTTAGTAGTTTATTGAAGAGTATTGCAGCATTCCAATAAGGATCTTTCTTTGATGAGGATTTGGCAGACTACATTCCTTGATAGTTTTCCTTTCCTCCTGTATTGTATTGATATACATATTTATTTTGAAAAAGGTGACAGTCATTGTTTTTCATGAGCGTAATTACCCTATATGCAAAAATTGCAACAACAGTCATTATTTTGTATTTTTTATACTAATTTTTACAAGATTGCTTAGGATGCAGCTGAAATATGCATCTAAGAGCTTGTTTCTATGTTATCATAACTCTGTCTATGTCTCCGGGTTGCTCCCCATATTTTTATAGTATATTAAATGTGAGGGTGCAGAGTGTATAATGCCATAGTATGTGGTAATGAGCATTTTCATTGCCATATAGTTTGACAGATTTCGCGGTAAGTAAATGTTGGAATTAATTTTTTTGCTTATGACATCAATGTGTTCATTATATGTTAGATTTTGGTCATTGTGGATTCCAAGAAATTTGTGGCTTTGCCCTTGGTGTACACTTTCGTGGTTGATATCAATATTTATGTTGCAATTTTGGTTTTGTTTATGGCGACGAAATTACACT